TTTCCTGTCGAAAGTGAAGAAATAAATCTGCTTCAGACCGGCAGAGCTTAGAAAGGGAAGCTGAGCGTTGGAGACTTTGCCCTCGTCCCTCACCCCCAGCCCCCATCACTCCCTTGGCAAACTGGATTCTGGGTGCCAGAGGGCACCAGGAGAATGGAGCATGAGCACTGAGGACATCAGAGATAAGGAACCAAAGCTCCCTGAGGCCAGGCTCTGGACTTCAATGCGGATGCAGGCTTACCTGGTGTCACCCTGAAAGAAGGAAAAGACAGGTGAGCCACACAGAAGACACGCTGCCCACACTAGGCTGGGCCTCTTTCCACTGGCTTCCAGGAGGATGTTTTGCCTGGTGCCTCCTGGGTGTTTTCTTCCTTGATCATTTCTCAGAGACAGAAGGTCTACGTCTTACCTAAGATCAATTCATTGTCAGATTTTTAAGCCTGCCTCTGATAACAGTGCTTCAATGACTCATGATTTTGAGAAGCTCAGGTATTAAAAAAATGAGGCTCATTCATTCACCAATTCTAAAGACATACCTAAAAATATTCCTCTTAAAAAACTGGGGCCACACAAAGGAAATAGAACCATACAATCAAGCATCCCCAGTTCCCTATATGATCACCTCAAAAAACAGAACTGGGAAGAGTTTTCAACATAAGCTTTGGTAATTTTGCTGAGTTACTGACTCCACTCTGGTGGTTTATGTTTGCTTTTTGTGTGTGTGTCTGGTGTGTCTTCCCTCTGCCCTGCCCTCCAAACTCCAGTGATTGCTACTTCTCTATCTTGGTTTCATTGTTCTCAAAGCAGTCCTGTAGCTGTGGTCTCAATCACATCTAAAACTTTATCCTTCTAGCCATAGGATCCATTGAGGAACCCAGAATCTGATCTTTCTTGGGGATCACTGCTAACACAGCCAAAGGAAATAATATGTAAGAGTTTCAATATAGAACATACAGTTTTGGTTGAAGGAAGCAACAACTGCTTCTTTTAAATACATTTTATTATTCATGGTATCTTGTGCTCAGATGCTGTTTTTCCTCTCTAGGAGAAGAAATTAGGCAGGTGGCAGAATGCACAGGTCCCCCGAGTCTTGCAGCCACACCACATACTGAATGAGTAAGCTTTCAGTCTGGCTGTTCTGCCTGAGTGTTTCCTTACCCATCATGCCTGGTTTCTTATCCAGGGAGCAAGGGTCACACAAGGTGACCATCCCAAGACTAATTAGCAGCTACACTGTGGATATGGCATATGTGTCTTCTGAATCTACACACCCTTTTCACCCCTAACACACACTTTCCCAGTTTCTAAATTTCCATGGGCTCAGTGTAAAAAGTTATTGTCATGCAATGCTCAGTGGTGGTGTCTGGCGATGGTTGCTTGACTCTGTGGAAAGTGAGTGGAATTTGAGAAAATTTGAGAAATGGTGAAAGAAGAATTTTTTTTCTCCAAATTCAAAGAGAGAAATGGAACTAAATAATAATTTGAATGATAGGAAATATCGTGTTGGGGTCCCCAGTGTGTGACCGACATGCAATAAACAACACTGCAGAATGACAATTATTGGGCTAAAAGAGGAATTGTTGCCAGTTTGGCTACAATTTCCTAGGGACCCTGGTACTTGGCCCAGAAATTAGTGGGTTTCAGGTGGATTTGGGAAACTTCTCTTGCCCTCAGGACACAGAAATCCTAGACTCTTCTTACTGTCCTTGAGGTGCTTAGAAATGCCACAGGGAGCTCAGAAATGCTTCTTTCTTTAGAGAGTCCCCAAGACCAGGAACTAGCCAACAAAAGTGCCCTGAGGCCTCACCGCCATCCTCAGGGTCCTGGTGGATTCCGGAACTCTACTGGAGTCCACCAGGGAAGTCCTGGAGGTCACTGTGGGTGGCCTCTTGGGATGGTAAGCCAAGTAGTTATCATTACCTTCCTGACCCCAGGGATGAAAAACACTCCCCTCCTGCCCCATCTCCTAGGAAAACCCTAGAGGGACATTAAGGAAAAAGAAATAGTTTGAGGTACACGAGAGAAACGGTAAAAACAAGTATGGAGGTTAAGACTCATCTTAATCAAGTGTTTAATCCAGTGATTTCCAAGAACACATTGTACTAGCGTAAGATTTCATTTGGTACAATGTTGTCACATTTCCCCCTTTTGAACACTAAAAAGATCTAGGCCTTGAATCCAACAGACAACGAAACCTTTCTGCAAGCACAATGGGGAGTTGCCATTTGAAAACGGATACTTTGATCATTTTGCCCAATTAATGAAAGGGAAGAAAATTGGGCACTTGTCTGAACTTTTATTTCTGTTTTATCTGTTTGGTTTTTCTTTTGATTTGGAGAAGCAGTAAAAATCATTTATACCTTCTCTCCTTCCTGTTTATTATTTTGATTGAGATGGAGGAGAGAACCAATAAGGAAGAATGTTTTTCTGGAAATACTAAACTTTGATAACCAAATTACTCAATATCCCAAAACGCCTGCTTTAAAACCTTTCTATGTTACAACCATGTCTTCATTAAAACAGTGGGAAAATGACAAACCAATAAAAGCAACAACTTTCAGTACCTCTTGACCCTTCCTGTCCAGTTGCACTGTCTTCAACATGTAGCTAATGCCAGTCTTGTCTTTGGTAGGCATACACTTTGTACAAATAATTTATCCTTCCCAAGCTTTGGTTTTATCCACTATAAAATGTGGGTAGCACAAATGACCTCATAAGACTATATTAAAAATTAAATGAGATAACATGAGTATTGACATAAGGAGCTACTTTACAGAACTTCTCCCTCAAAAATGGGCATATCCTTGATAAATGACATTCAATCCAAAGGCATACTAACATTGTAGTGACCTCTGTTGCCTCTGAGATATTGTC